CCAGCGGCGCGTGCAGGGCGCACCATCCCGCCTGGGACATCCTCCTGCACCCGAGGGCTCAGCAGGTCCACCCGCACACTGCAGGGGTACCGAGACCAACAGCTGGGGACCCTGCGAGCCCTGCACTGCACCGTGGAGCAGTGGGTGCAGGATGACTGGGAGTTCTGGCAGGAGCTGCTTGCCCAGGGTTGCGCTATCTGTGCCCATCTGCAGACCCTGGTGCAGAGCATGTTGCCTCGTGCCGCTCCTCCTCCCACTCCTTCTCCCATTCCCGCCTCTCTCTCCTCAACCTCCACACTCTCCTCCCCATCCTCCCGGGGATGCCGAGGCCCCCGCACCCACTGTGTTGGGAGACAGTTGGCCCAGCGAGACCCTGACCTTTCCCTCCCCCTTGTTCCCCTTGCTTCCCCCTTCCAGTTTTCCCCCTCCCTTCTCCCACTCTTTCTCCTCCCCTCTCCTGCCTCCTTTCCCCAGTCTCCCCAGAGTTTCATACCCCCCAGTTTTGTTAAATAAACACAGTTTATATTTTTGAAAATGTATTTTATTTAACATCAGGAAGAGGAGTTAGGGAGGGTAAGTGGAAGGACACGAGGGAGGAATGAGACACAAGCCCCCAGTGGGGCAGACCAGGGAGGCTCTGAGTGCTCCGCAGGATGGACACTCTCCCTCAGGGCCTCCTGGATACTGACAGCCCCCTGATGGACCTCCCAGATGGCAGCCTGCAGCAAATGCAGCCAGGCTGATAGCAACATGTCCACGAGAAGCACCAGAGTGCCCAGGGGCAGCTCTGGCTCCATGTTGCCGAGTGCTATGGTGTGTCGAGCGAGGGCAACCAGAGCACTCCAAGACACAAATGCTTTGCTGTCTCTCAGCGAGGCAGGCAAGCAAGCAGGGACACCTGAAAACCGGCTGCCCGGGGGAGGAGAGGGGAGGAGGGAGTCCCTTTAAACACAGGCCTTAGATAGCCTCAGGCAACAGCCACACAAAGACACTTCTTGCCCTAACCCTGACCTGGTTCCGGCCAGCCTTAAATCCAAATCAATGTCCACTCAGTGTGGATGCGATATTTCGAAATAGCGAAATGCATTTTGTGTGTAGACGCATTATTTCAAAATAGCTATTTCAAATAACTTTCGAAATAAGCTATTGTGAAATAACGCTATAGTATAGACATACCCTAAGAGCTTTACAATTAGTTGAAACTTGTCAACTTCCAGTATGACAGAATATTTGAAGAGAAGATGACTTTCCATGAGTCCTATTACATCTAGCCATAAAAGGAAACAGAGTATACCGTTTCAACTTTTATTGATGGACTTCCACATTTTTGTCACTACAAGCCATATTCTTATTGTTACAATAAGATCATTTATTAAAGAAAATATTAAAAACCTTTGAGTGGTTTATTAGTGTTGATTCCATAAGCTGTAATAATTCTTGTCATGTAAATGAACTGATAATATTGCCTTTTTGTCTTATTTATTTGAGTATATTGTTTGCTTGATTGATCATATAAATGCTTTTAGGCATCATTTTGAAATAGAGTGGGTTATATAATTTTAGCCTGTGGATAATTTTACATTGAAGCAGTTAAAAGGCATTTCGACTTATTGGCTCCTGTAATCTTAGGGAATATGGGAAAGAATTGAGCTGCTTGATGCATAACATTGTGTACAGTAATGTTTCTTACCTTCTCTTTAAGGTACGTCTGCACATGATGTGTGCAACACATCCAAATATTGTTCAAATTATTGGAGTTTATGCTAACAGTGTGCAGTTCCCTCATGAATCCAGTCCAAGGTAAGATTACATAGGGTGATTGATTCCCACAGCTTGCTTTCCATGTTTAGGCCCAGGTATAGTGGAGACTTTTTCTTTTAAATTAATAATGAACCTGAAAGGAGTCCCCAGCTGGGGCTTCAGTGCATGATATTACACTTCACATTTAGCTGTATCCAATTTTCTAATTGGAGTGCCCTGGACAGATACTGTATACATTGAATTTCATTTTCTGATTAAAGTTTGATTTCTTAGCTGCCTATTTCCAGTCACCATCTTGTTGAGTAATACCATAACTTGGGATGCATACATTGTCTGAGAGAAAATAGGCTTCTGTCCTGCTTTAATATATGTTTGACATATAAGAGCTTCAGAGTCAGCATTCTTTGAGTTTTCAATTGTCAAACCTACATTAAAACGGGGTAGACATTTTTCCTCTCTGACACTGATACTTTCCTTTTACATGTAGGCTCACAAATGAGATCCCTTTGTAAATAATTGGTCACTTGTGGTCAGGAGCTGGTTCAGAAATGCCAGTGTTATTAATCATAAATCTTTATACTGAACTGCATTTGAGAAATAGTAATTCTGGCCTTGCAGAAGTCAAAATGTAGCCATGCCTAAAATCGATGCAGCAAAAACATAAACGTGAGTTTATGACTTTATATGACTTAGAGCAGAGATGAGCAGTAATTTTTGGCTGGAGGCCACTTCAGTAATTTGGAAGGGGCAGGACCAGAATGCTTCTGGGTTTCCACACCCCTAGACCATAATTGGTCTGGGAGTGGGGGAGCCCCTTTGCCCTCCCCTTCTCACTAGGTATCCATGCCCTTGGGAAGGCGGGAAGAGATTTCACACACTCCCCTGTCCCAGGCCCTGATTGGCCTGGGAGTAGGGGGAGCTCAAGAAGCCTCCTTCCACCCTATCACCCACCCTGCGGTTCAAAGTGTCACGTGCTGCTTGCAGGGGGGAGGAGATGTCACACGCTCCCCAGGCCCTGATTGGCTTGGGGGCAGGGGAGCTGTGTGAAGCTTCCCTTGCCCTGCTCCCGCCTTGCATGAGTGTATGGCACTTTGAAGTGCTGTGCGCTCCTCTCAGGATGGATTGGGGGAGGGCTGAGGAAACTTCTCACAGCTCCCCCTGCACCCAGGCCAATCATGATTTGGGGGCGGGGGAATGCGTGACGTCTCTTCCTGCCCTGTGAGCAGCGCGTGATACTTTAAAGTGCTGTGTGCTGCTCGCAGGGCGGAAGGAAGCTTTCCTAATTGGCTTGGGGGCGGGGGAGCTGCAGGGCCTCCGTGGGCTGGATCAACCCTCTTGGTGGGCTGGATCCAGCTCATGGAGGCTCTTTTGCCCACTCCTGACCTAGAGGAAAATGCTGGTATTAATATAAAACATGGGACTGCTGTCCCCCGTCTTTTGTTCTCAGGAGGATTGGCAATAAAATTCTAATTAAAACTAGGAGACACAATATGATATTCTGGCTGTAAAGATGGCTGTCCGCTTCCCGTTTGTAAATTGCTGTGAACTCCTATAGCTCTACATAAATAATCTCTAAAGTCATTCACTTCATCCGGAAAGCATGCAAGCCTAATGTGTAGTCTCCCGTGTGATAATACAATGCACTATTCAGTGAGTTAGATTATGCAGGGGACTAGTAGATATTGTATTTGACACTGTAAAAACCAAAATTATTACTACTAAAGTAGACAGAACAACACTATGAAACAATTACACCATCTCTCTTTTGGCTTGCATCACCAGCTGTAATATGTGAATTACTAGATTAGCAACTTTTGTTATATTTTGACCGTTTTTTTTAACAAAATGAAATGAAATGCTTTTAAACAGGGCTCGGCTTCTATTTGTAATGGAGATGATGGAAGGGGGAGAGCTATTTCACAGAATCAGCCAGCACCGGCACTTTACTGAGAAGCAAGCAAGCCAAGTAACAAAGCAGGCAAGTTAATTCCCATGTATAAACAAAACCATGAACAATAATGGTTAAAATAGTTACAATTTCATGGGGGTGCGGGAGGAAAAAGGAAGCTAAAATAACCCTCCGTTCTGATCCAATGATCATTGCCTGCTTTGTTATAATCTGATAATACCAAAGTTCTGATAGAACTGAAGAATTGTTAAGGTTTTTTTGCTAGTCTTTCTGGGTTGAGATCTTTATACCTTTGAAGTCTTTCATATTTTGGTTCTCCAATTACTTCATTCTCCTGAGCACTTCATGAGAGATCCCCCTCCTGGCTAGTCTCTCTGCCCTGTCCCTGGCTTTGTAGTTCTCAAAACATTAAATTCAAGAGAGCACCACAAAATGTCATCATGGGGAACAGATGGTCACTGGACTACTGTTTGGGTACCACTGCTAAATATCAGATAGTGGGAGATAGCAGATATACCATACAGTATGTATATGGCCTGAGCATTTATTTTTCTCAAAGTCTGGAAAATTCCAGTGTTTTCTTTAAGCATTAAGGATTTGCTAATATCTTATGGAGGACCTAAAAATTAATTGAGTTCCAAGATAAATCAACCAGCATATGTAGCACATGTCTTCTATGTTCCTTTTGTCTCACTAGCCAGCTATAACACACTCAGCACCACGGTATCTTACCCCCTTCCTCCTCCACACGGCTTGTATTACTAAGGACTTTTGCGTCCATTAACTGCTTTGTTGCTTAGCAGTTCATCTACTTATCTCTGATCAGAGGGGCCAGAAGTGGTCAAGCTTGAAGGAGGAGCTCAGTGAGATGGCATTTCTGCAAGGATCCCCTTGGGAAATTCCCTGCATCACTCCTTCGGGGGGTGCAGAAGGGGAATTGTTTCTTATTTCTCCCACCTTTTTGAGTTTTCTGTGGAGCCCACCAAGAAAAGCCCAGATTAATAAGAGGGCTGCAGAAAAAAAATAGAGTTAGGTTGTGGTCTCACCAGAGAACCACTGTGGGACAGGGAAAGCTTCTACTAGCAGCCACAGAAAAGGCAGATATTGCTGCAGAAATGTCTGAGTCCTTCCAAATGCTGAAGGACACTTCTGTATGTGGGTATAGGAGATTCAGTCCTCCTCCCCTGGTTTGAGGATTATGACATTCCAATAGGGAGTTGCATGAATTGAGATGGAAGATAAAAGGAGCAAGATTAAATAAAAACACTAAACTACAAATATCCTGGTCCCTGAAAATGACCATAGTGGATTTAAAAAGAAAAAGCAGCCAGGGATACCACAGAATTGTTTTTAAATAAAATGCTTTAAAAGATTTTCCACCATGTGTTTGGCTCTTCAAGCTGCTGATATGATTGCATAGTGATATCTTGATGTGGTAATTGTGCTTCTGTTTGTGGGCTCCTAGAACATTTCAAGTGGAAATTAGGATTGTTAAAATGTGTTTAAATACCATATATTCCGGCGTACAAGACGACCTCTGATGTTAAAAAACATCCCCCAAAAATCGGGGGTCGTCTTACCATGTGTTTGGCTCTTCAAGCTGCTGATATGATTGCATAGTGATATCTTGATGTGGTAATTGTGCTTCTGTTTGTGGGCTCCTAGAACATTTCAAGTGGAAATTAGGATTGTTAAAATGTGTTTAAATACCATATATTCCGGCGTACAAGACGACCTCTGATGTTAAAAAACATCCCCCAAAAATCGGGGGTCGTCTTGTACGCCGGATG